TTCCTCTCTCTGAAATCAATAAAGATATATTTTTTAAAAAAAATTTCCAGAGTTAACAAGCAGGATGTATTTTATTATCATTCACAACAATCTATTTGTTTTAACTTTAATTTTAAACCATGACCCAAATAAACACTAAAGGAAGAACAGGTGATGCTAGGCTGACTCTGTGATGATCCCCAGTAACCACCTGGGTACTCACCTCCCCCAGTTATCCATGAAACACAATAGGTGCTGCTGGGAAGGGGTTTTGTAGATGTAACTATGGTCTCAAATCAGCTGATCTTAAGACTATCCTGGGTGGGGCTGTCCTAATCAGGTGAGTGCTGACTGGTGTTCCTCCTGAGCAAAGGGATTCCAAGTGAGAGAGTTCAGTGTGAGGGAGTTTCTCCCCTGGGCGCTTGAAAATGGAGGGCCACATGGTAAAGACTGCTGGTGGGCACTAGGTCTTGGGAACAGCCCTCCCATGCCCACCCCCCATCTCTTCCTTGCTGACACTTGTCAAGGAAACAGGGATCTCATACCTACAACCGGGAAAAACTGAATCTGCTAACAATCTCTGTAAGCTTAGAGAAGGAGCCTGAGCTCAGAATGAGGGCACAGCTCTGTGACACCTTGACAGAGAACCCACCCACACCATGCTGGATTTCTCACTAAGGACCTGTGAGCAAAGAAATGGGGGCTGTTTCCAGCCACTAAGTTGTGGTAATTTTTATACAGTAATAGAAAACTAATACACAGGCTCAACTGTGCAATAAACACACAACATTTTCCCCCACTGGAATAAATTTATGAACTGACAGGTAATAAAATATTCCCTAACATTTATTTTATTTTATGGCTTTTGTGCAGTGTAATAAAATTTTACTACAATTATCTTTCATTCATTCATTCATTCATTGATTCAACAATAATTAATTTAATCCCTAGAATGTACCAGGAAACAGCTTCACGTGGATATACAATTTTGACCTAAGCGGCCCAAAACCCCTGTGCTCATGTGCCTTACCTTCCACAGGCTCTATGTGAGTGACATGGGAGACATTAGAGCTTTGTAAGTGAAGAAATGACACAACCTGACTCACCTTAGCAGGACTGCTGGCCCCTGTGTGGAGAATAGTCCCTGGGTGGCAGGTGAGGTGGTGGCGCTAGTGCCACAATCAGGAGAAGGTGATGGAGACAAAGGGGAGAAGAGGCCTGAGGGGTGAGAGAGCCTGAGAAGGGCTGGAGAAGCAGAAAGTGAGGAAAAGCAGAAGAGGTAGAGATTATAAAACAGTGGATCTATAGTAAATGTGTCTACAGGGCCTAGCAGGGTGTTCCTTGCATTTGGTGCTGTGGACCCCCAGAAAAAGACATCTACTAAGGAGGACTCCTGGTGGTGACTGGGCTCAAATTAACAACAAACAGCCCACCTGCCGTTCCTGCAGCTGGCGGAGGCTGCTCTGAGCTACCCGCCTCCCACTGCGCTGTGGGCCTGCTCCGTGCCTTCCTCCCCCTCCCTCCCCACCCCCGGGGGTGGAGACGGCTTTTCGCAGGGCTGGGTACAGGGCGGGCGGAGCTCAGTGTTGTTTGTGTTCTTTCTGTGGGTGCCAGAGCGGGGCGCAGGCTCCCGCGGGTCGTTCGTGGTTTGTCGGGGGCCTGTGGTCACTGCAGTTCGCCGGTCGCCGAGCTCCTGCTTCCGCGACTCGGGTTTC